TGTAAGAGGACGACGTAGAAAGTCGTAGCAGGAGAAAGCGACGCAAGCCCAGTAGGACCAGAAGAAGACGCAGTAAAAGAAGACGCCGAAGGAGGTGGAGATCCAAATGTGTCGTTTCGTATGTCTGGTGGATGAAAAATAATATTGTCTTTCCAATTTTGCTGTCTCATCATGACAATATTTGAGGGAAAATTTTATTAGATTATTGGTTGGAAGGTATTATTGCATAACAGCAGGGATAGCAATGTTATTATTTATCTACAATAAATTGTACATCTGCCGTAAAATAATCCTCGAAAGAAGCGCTAGGTGAAAGGTCCATTGAATTTCACAAATTTCTCATAAAGTGAAGAAACTAATATATTGAGTCGTATTGAAAATTGTCTGCGTCAAAGAAAACACAGTTGCAGTCAACGCCGCAGACGTAGAACCTCTCTCTGTGCGACGTCTCTGTCGTAAGAGGAGTCGTAGGAGATCCTCTAGTAAAAACTGCCATCGCCAGGGTCTGATCACCAGCAATCCTTTCTTGAACTATTTCCGTCGGTTCAGGAAGGAGTGGCGGTTGAATACGCAAAATGTGGTGTAAAATGTCACGTAGGGATAATCAAAAATATTACGCTGAAGCTTGTAAGAGGACGACGTAAAAAGTCGTAGCAGGAGAAAGCGACGCAAACCCAGTAGGACCAGATGAAGACGCAGTAAAAGAAGACGCCGAAGGAGGTGGAGATCCAAATGTGCCGTTTCGTATGTCTGGTGGATGAAAAATAATATTGTCTTTCCAATTTGCTGTCTCATCATGGACAATATTTGAGGGAAAATTTATTAGATTATTGGTTGGAAGGTATTATTGCATAACAGCAGGGATAGCAATGTTATTATTTATGTATGTGCTACGCCACTGGCAAAATGGGTTTCGACCATCTCCCGCAGGAGCGCGCCACCATCCAGCGCGCAGCCTACCACTGCCGACCGGAAGACCGTTGAATTTTGAACGGTCCAATGGGATGCCTTCCTCTCGGAGCGACCAGGAGAGAGGCCGGAAGAAGCACCATTTTGACCATAACCAGAAAATCTGTTCGGTATAGACAATTTTTCAATTACGACAGTTTCTCATGAAATGTACATACAATACATTGAACAAAAACATAAATGTAATCAATAAAATACAGTCCACTATACACAACATTTGGTCCAATCGAGCCGGATAGCCAGTGAAACAAGCAAGTAAACAAGAAACAAGTTCACAAGTGCAGGCGGCAGGCAAGAATCCACGCCATATTCACAGAAGTTCAACGCAATCAGCAATACAAGTGGAAGACAGAAATCCACGCAGGTACCCATTTACCATTTCCTTGATTCAGTCAATATAGCGGACAAATGCTACTTTGAATTTCGACTCGTATTATATGTGCAGGCATTCAACAGCCTAGAAAAGCAATATACTCTCAAGTGAGAACGTTTACTGGTGTCCAATTTATGCCCAATTCATCAATTTCGATCATTTTTTATCGATACTCATTCACATAAAGCAATTACACAATGGCACAATCAGTTTTGATCAGGAAACGAGGCACAATCAAGCCAAGTGGCTCATTTTGAAAAATTCTTGAACAGCGTACAGCCTCAAGATTTAGACAGACAAACTATAATTCATATGCAAGAAACGGTGTACTAAATTCGAAACCTTTTTGACAGCTTCGATGAAATTCAGTCAGAAATTGAATGTGAATCAGATAAGCCAGAAGCATGCTATGCAGAAAGAGAGGATTTTGAAAACCAAGTCTATCTTCAGCTCTCAAGAGCTAAATGTTTATTAGAATCACGAAGTAATCTCAGTAACAACATTCCTCACAACAATGATGATCACAATGATGACACTAAATCACAACAATCTGAATCTGATACGCAATCAATTTCAGAGCAATCAGTTTACACACAAGGTCAGGCCACTCATGTTATTCAGTCACAAAATGATGGCTTCAAACTGCCTGATGTAGATTTACCAAAATTCAATGGCGAATATGAGTCTTGGATGGAGTTTCGGGAAACCTTCGAGTCCATGATACATATGAATACACAAGCTACACAACATACGTAAGTTTCACTATTTGCGGGCTTTCATTAGCAGGAGATGCAAACCGTGTAATTCAAGAAATCGAATTTACAGCAGACAACTACAGCATAGCTTGGCAAGTTCTTAGAGACAGGTATGATAACAAACAGGTTCTAATTCAAAATCATTTACGTGCAATTTGCAACTTTGAGGGTTTCAGCACTGCTTCATCAGCAAAAATCAGAGAAGTATCTGAGAATCTTTTCAAACATTTAAAAAGTCTAAAGCAGTTAGGTATCAGCATAGAAAAGTGGGATGTCCTAGTCATCTATTTAACAGTCAGTAAATTAGATCGCTATTCAAGCCAAGAGTGGGAGCGGCACACAGCAAATACAGATATACCCACATTGGTTGAGTTTAAAGATTTCCTCAGAAAAGAGCAACATGTTAGAAAAACTAGAAATGAATTATGTTTCAAAAGGTGATTCATCACGATATCAATCAGATAAAAGATATTCAAAGGGTTCTGCTCGTTCAAAGGGTTTAGTCACTAGTGGTATCTCAATCAAGGTGAAAATGTTAGCAAATCAAACAGAGTTTGTTACAATTGCAAAGGTGATCACAGCATATTTTATTGTTCGGACTTCTTGAAATTATCAGTACAAGAGCGATTCAACAAAGTCAAATCGCTGCAATTGTGCCTGAATTGTTTAAGAAAGGAACACACGGCGCGCTCCTGCGGGAGATGGTCGAAACCCATTTTGCCAGTGGCGTAGCACATACATGCCCCGGGCCTTGGGAATCCTGCGGATGGACAACCGGCAATGAACCAGGCGATTGATAGCTCTAGAAGTCATTCCGTTCTCGGTTTTCAACGATGCAACTGGGACACTCCGCTGCCAGTTGACATGCGCAAGTCATGGCTCAGTCTTGCAGAAGGCTTAAATATTTGAATAAGCTTATCATCAATCGCAAGGTAGTATGTGACAAGGCAACGGCAATATCAATGCATGCATTTGCAGATGCTTCGGAAAAAGGCTACGGAGCATGCGATACATTGTATCTGAAAATGCAAGTGGTAATAAAACCGCCAACCTTCTGTGCGCTAAATCTAAGGTTGCGCCTATCAAATCTCAATCAATGCCTCGACTAGAATTATGCGCTGCGTAGTTGCGTCTCAATTAATTGCAAAAATATCAAAATCAATTGACACCTCATTTAGTTCCATTCACTGTTGGACGGACTCTACGATTGTTTTGGGCTGGCTAAAATCCAACCCTAGTACTTTGAAACCATTTGTAGCCAATCGCGTCTCAGAAATTCAGCGACTGACAGAATCTATAGAATGGCATCATGTTTCCACTCTGGACAACCCAGCTGACATTGTCTCGAGAGGGTCTCAGCCCTAGTCTCTAATGCATTCAAAGTTATGGTTTCATGGACCAGACTGGTTATTATACCTCGATCAATGGCCAACCTCGCCAATATTATTATCAGAACTACCGGAACAGAGGAAAGTGTGTAATGTTTCCTCCACACCAGCAATTCATTTTCCCTTTCATAGATTCTCCACCCTAACCAAATTAAAACACTGTTCAGCGTATATTTTGAGATTTATAAATAATTCACGTTTAAAACCAGATGATCGTGCGCTTGAGCATTTTACAGTAAACGAACTAGAAAGATCCTTCACCTTTTTGATACGATTAGCGCAACAGGAAGCGTTTTCAGAGGAGATCAGTTCTTTACAAAAGAATCGTAAACTTCAATGCAATAACCGCTTAGTTAGCTTAAACCCATTCATAGACGAATGCGGAATCATGCGCGTTGGGAGGGCGCTTGGTAAACTCTGAATATCCGTATGATAAAAAGCATCCAATTGTGCTTCCTCAAAAACACCACCTTACTAGGACTTATATTCGAACATGAGCATCGGACCTTACTTCACGCGGGTCCGCAACTTTTGCTAGCTACCATACGAGAGAATTTTTGGCCCATTTCCGGGCGCAATCTGGCACGAAAAATAGTACGGGAATGCGTAATTTGCGCTAGGCATGCCTGCACGTAACTTCATTCAACCAATCATGGGTTCATTGCCTAACAGCTCGTTCAGACGACTCGGTCACGATCATTTAATCGAACACGGTAAAAGTATCGGAATCTCGCAGTGGCGCAATATTTTAAATCTGCATATTCACACGATGCGGTCGTACCCCATATACGGGAAAACTGCCGATTCGTTCGGACTTGCATTCGGTTCGCGCCACTGGCAACCGTATGGTCGCATGCGGTTGTGTTCGGGAAAAAAACCGAATCGGCCTTCAGTGGCACGTACAATGTATATTGGCCATTTCACCTCCAGTCGCGATTCGATTATCTTGCCGAACGGCACTTGTTTTCGGCTTTAAATAGTTTGCTCATATTTATGGATATACCTACATATATAACAATGGAGAAAATAAATACGGAGCTGTTGATAAGTTTAGTGGAAGCGAGACCCGCTTTATGGGATAAAACACTTGACACATATAAAGACAAAAATTTAAAGTCGTCAGCATGGAGAGAGATATGTTCTCTGTTAAAGGAGAATTTCGAAGATATGGAACAAAAAGGAGAGGCAGGCTTTTGGTAAGTATTTTATTGTTTATTTTGACATACATAAATTTACTAACCGATGGCTTCATCTTGCCAAGAAACAGAACCAGCTTCTGTTAGAAAATAGTCAGCAAAAGTTGTTCTTATGGAATTGGCAGATAGTCCTCCTCGTATATTTTGTGCTTTTGGTAAGTTGTTCAAGGTGGATTTCTGGCAAATGAGCGTTTTCAAAATTAAACCCGTCTTTTCTCGGACAAAATTATGTAACACAGTACACGCTTTTACTATCCATATTGCTGTTTCTAGTTTAACATCTAGAGGACGATGAAATATCCTCCATCTATTAGCTAAGATGCCAAATGCACATTCACACATATCTTCTAGCGCGAGTAAGTCCGGTAATTAAATATTCGCTTTTTCTTGTCTAAATGTGTACCGCCAAAAGGCCTTAATAAATTGTCATGCAATCCGAAACCTTCATCGCCAATAAACACAAAGGGTACATTTATTTGTGTCTGTTCTAAAGGTCTGGGTGTTGGTATGTTTAAAGCGCCCTGTGTCAACTTTTTCCACAATGTAGATTCTTTCCAGATTGACGAATCACAATCTTTTCCATAGGACCCTATATTCACGTATATAAAAACGATATTCTGAATCTACGACTGCTAATAAAACAATAGAGAAGTAATCTTTGTAGTTGAAGTACATAGAGCCAGTGTTATCGGGTTTTCTCAGTCTTATATGTTTCCCGTCTACCGCACCGAGGCAATGCGGGAAATTCGTTTTCATCCAGAATCCATTCGCTATTTCCTCCCATTTATCTGGCGTATCAGGGCATGCCATAAATTTAGTACCCATATTATTCCATATACTCCGAGTAACTTCTCTCACAATATTGCTAATTGTTGAGACACCAACTCGGTAGAGTAATGCAGATCTTTATACGAACACCCAGATGCTAGATACCTGAAAGGAAGGAACGTTTTATTTTATTTGTTCCAGGTAAGCTGATTTTAAAAAAGTGGACATACATTCGAGACTCGTGGATGAAAGCATTGAAAAAACATAAAGACCAAAAAACAAGTGGCACATCGACCAAACCTTCAAGACTTTATATATATAATGAGCAGATGTCATTCCTGAAAAAAATTACAGATTCAACTGTTTGTCATGAAAACACTAATAATGAAAATAACACCGAGATAGAAGACTTGGATGCAGAAGTTATTGAAGAGAGTGTTCCACCTGAACAACCGAATATGGAAGCAAATCAGTCTGGTAGTACTCCCATCAGTACTTCTACTGCACGCAGAAAGAGGAGTATTAATGAAGTTGATGCCAAAATGATGCGATTCATAGACCATCAAATCAACTTATCCAAGGTTTCAACAGTCAAAGAGGATGAAAATCGTCATCTTACATTCTTCAAAAGTCTTCTTCCATCATTATCATCGTTTGATGAAGATGAAACTTTGGAATTTCAGTCGAGTGTGTTAAGTTTATTGCAAAATATGAGAGCAAAGAAGCGAAGGTTGGCCGATAATATTCAAATGCCATCGCGTACAATTGCCACTTATTACAATAATTGGCAAAATCATGATTATTACAGTCAGCCACAGCCACAAACAATTTCAAGAGTAACAACACCAATGACTAGTCCATATACTGCCTAGACTGCCGAACCGTCACCCTCTACACAGTCTGTTGCAAGCCAAGATTCTATTTTAGATCTAGATATTTCCAATTTTTGATTTGTTTATTTGTATATAAAATAAAGTTTTTAAAAAATGACACCTACCTTAAGCATATCACCAATTTTTCCTCAGCACTGATACATGTTCTCATATTTGTGTCTTCTCGAGTTAAGTCTTTTTTCACTCTATTAAGTAGGTCATCAAACGTAGAGGAAGACATCCGAAAATAATTGAAAAATTTAATTTCATCTCTTCTTAATTGACACATAAGTGTCCGGAAGGACCCCAAATTAAATCTTTCTCTAATAATAGGGTGTTCCCAATATCTCCTTATTACTCGTTTTTTACAGAGTCTACGATACCAATACATTAAAACCAACATATTTGCATTCATTGTGCCAAACTCAATCAACAACTGACAAGAAGCGTATCCGCGCAAAAATATTATACCGCATCGTGTGAACACTGGACCCGATTCGGTTAAAATGTCGTTTCGGTTAAATTCCCGTGCCGTACCGTATCGTGTGAACGAGTTGTAAGGCTCGCGCTCATCCTTCTTTACCATTTTCGCATGTCGGAATTGATTATGCGGGACCTTTTGCAATCAAAGACAAAAGAGGACGAGGTTGCAAAGTTATAAAATGTTGGGTAGCTCTATTCGTATGCTTCAGTACTCGAGCCATTCATTTGGAACTTGTGTTATCATTGAGCACCGATGACTTCCTCCAAGCCCTTCATCGTTTTATTGTTAGACGTGGTAAGCCATTAGAAATATTCTCCGACAACGGTACCAATTTCATTGGGGCTGCTAAAGAGGTAAAGTATATGTACACCTTTCTTAATGAGAATTCAGAGACAATTTATTCCAAAACTGCTGACATGGGCATAAAGTGGCATTTCATACCAGTAAACTCCCCTCACTTCGGCGGAATATGGGAAGCCGGTGTAAAAGGTGTAAAACATCACTTAAAGAGATCAGTGGGACTTCATAAACTTTATCTTTTAGACTTTCAAACGCTTTTAATTCGCATTGAAGCTATATTGAACTCCCGTCCTTTATTTCCTTTGAGCTCTGACCCTGAAGATTTGACCCCTTTAACGCCTGCTCACTTCTTAATTGGTAAATCGATGCAGACTCTGCCAGTACCTACAAATATGTCTGCCCCCGAAAATAGATTGAGCCAATTCCAGTTATTAGACCGCCTGCACAGCCATTTTTGGACTAGATGGAGCAAAGAATATATCAGCGAACTGCAACAGCGCTGTCGTTGGAAGCAAACCCGAGGAGATCTACAGATAGAACAGCTAGTGCTAATGAAAGACGACAACGCCCCTCCAGCTAAGTGGCGTCTTGGAAGAGTCATTCAGCTGTCACCTGGCACCGACGGCGTCACCCGAGTTGCAACGTTGAAAACCGAGAACGGAATGACTTCTAGAGCTATCAATCGCCTGGTTCCATTGCCGGTTGTCCATCCGCAGGATTCCCAAGGCCCGGGGCATGTATGTGCTACGCCACTGGCAAAATGGGTTTCGACCATCTCCCGCAGGAGCGCGCCACCATCCAGCGCGCAGCCTACCACTGCCGACCGGAAGACCGTTGAATTTTGAACGGTCCAATGGGATGCCTTCCTCTCGGAGCGACCAGGAGAGAGGCCGGAAGAAGCTACCATTTTGACCATAACCAGAAAATCTGTTCGGTATCGACAATTTTTCAATTACGACAGTTTCTCATGAAATGTACATACAATACATTGAACAAAAACATAAATGTAATCAATAAAAATACAGTCCACTATACACAACAATTTATCTACAATAAATTGTACATCTGCCGTAAAATAATCCTCGAAAGAAGCGCTAGGTGAAAGGTCCATTGAATTTCACAAATTTCTCATAAAGTGAAGAAACTAATATATTGAGTCGTATTGAAAATTGTCTGCGTCAAAGAAAACACAGTTGCAGTCAACGCCGCAGACGTAGAACCTCTCTCTGTGCGACGTCTCTGGCGTAAGAGGAGTCGTAGGAGATCCTCTAGTAAAAACTGCCATCGCCAGGGTCTGATCACCAGCAATCCTTTCTTGAACTATTTCCGTCGGTTCAGGAAGGAGTGGCGGTTGAATACGCAAAATGTTGGTGTAAAATGTCACGTAGGGATAATCAAAAATATTACGCTGAAGCTTGTAAGAGGACGACGTAAACAGGCGTAGCAGGAGAAAGCGACGCAAACCCAGTAGGACCAGAAGAAGACGCAGTAAAAGAAGACGCCGAAGGAGGTGGAGATCCAAATGTGTCGTTTCGTATGTCTGGTGGATGAAAAATAATATTGTCTTTCCAATTTGCTGTCTCATCATGACAATATTTGAGGGAAAATTTTATTAGATTATTGGTTGGAAGGTATTATTGCATAACAGCAGGGATAGCAATGTTATTATTTATCTACAATAAATTGTACATCTGCCGTAAAATAATCCTCGAAAAAAGCGCTAGGTGAAAGGTCCATTGAATTTCACAAATTTCTCATAAAGTGAAGAAACTAATATATTGAGTCGTATTGAAAATTGTCTGCGTCGAAGAAAAACAGTTGCAGTCAACGCCGCAGACGTAGAACCTCTGCGCGACATCTCCAACGTAAGAGGAGTAGTAGGAGATCCTCTAGTAGAAACTGTCATCGCCAGGGTCTGATCACCAGCAATCCTTTCTTGAACTATTTCCGTCGGTTCAGGAAGGAGTGGCGGTTGAATACGCAAAATGTTGGTGTAAAATGTCACGTAGGGATAATCAAAAATATTACGCTGAAGCTTGTAAGAGGACGACGTAAAAAGTCGTAGCAGGAGAAAGCGACGCAAACCCAGTAGGACCAGAAGAAGACGCAGTAAAAGAAGACGCCGAAGGAGGTGGAGATCCAAATGTGTCGTTTCGTATGTCTGGTGGATGAAAAATAATATTGTCTTTCCAATTTGCTGTCTCATCACATATCAATATGTGAGGGAAAATTTTATTAGATTATTGGTTGGAAGGTATTATTGCATAACAGCAGGGATAGCAATGTTATTATTTATCTACAATAAATTGTACATCTGCCGTAAAATAATCCTCGAAAGAAGCGCTAGGTGAAAGGTCCATTGAATTTCACAAATTTCTCATAAAGTGAAGAAACTAATATATTGACGTATTGAAAATTGTCTGCGTCGAAGAAAACACAGTTGCAGTCAACGCCGCAGACGTAGAACCTCTGCGCGACGTCTCCAACGTAAGAGGAGTAGTAGGAGATCCTCTAGTAAAAACTGCATCGCCAGGGTCTGATCACCAGCAATCCTTTCTTGAACTATTTCCGTCGGTTCAGGAAGGAGTGGCGGTTGAATACGCAAAATGTTGGTGTAAAATGTCACGTAGGGATAATCAAAAATATTACGCTGAAGCTTGTAAGAGGACGACGTAGAAAGTCGTAGCAGGAGAAAGCGACGCAAGCCCAGTAGGACCAGAAGAAGACGCAGTAAAAGAAGACGCCGAAGGAGGTGGAGATCCAAATGTGTCGTTTCGTATGTCTGGTGGATGAAAAATAATATTGTCTTTCCAATTTGCTGTCTCATCATGACAATATTTGAGGGAAAATTTTATTAGATTATTGGTTGGAAGGTATTATTGCATAACAGCAGGGATAGCAATGTTATTATTTATCTACAATAAATTGTACATCTGCCGTAAAATAATCCTCGAAAGAAGCGCTAGGTGAAAGGTCCATTGAATTTCACAAATTTCTCATAAAGTGAAGAAACTAATATATTGACTGTATTGAAAATTGTCTGCGTCGAAGAAAACACAGTTGCAGTCAACGCCGCAGACGTAGAACCACTGCGCGACGTCTCCAACGTAAGAGGAGTAGTAGGAGATCCTCTAGTAGAAACTGTCATCGCCAGGGTCTGATCACCAGCAATCCTTTCTTGAACTATTTCCGTCGGTTCAGGAAGGAGTGGCGGTTGAATACGCAAAATGTTGGTGTAAAATGTCACGTAGGGATAATCAAAAATATTACGCTGAAGCTTGTAAGAGGACGACGTAAAAAGTCGTAGCAGGAGAAAGCGACGCAAACCCAGTAGGACCAGAAGAAGACGCAGTAAAAGAAGACGCCGAAGGAGGTGGAGATCCAAATGTGTCGTTTCGTATGTCTGGTGGATGAAAAATAATATTGTATTTCCAATTTGGTGTCTCATCTTGACAATATAAGATTGCAGATACTGTGGAAAATGCTGCAGCTTAAATTTGAGGGAAAATATTATTAGATTATTGGTTGGAAGGTATTATTGCATAACAGCAGGGATAGCAATGTTATTATTTATCTACAATAAATTGTACATCTGCCGTAAAATAATCCTCGAAAGAAGCGCTAGGTGAAAGG